ATTCATCCCGAGGGAAATGCACCTGAGCTCAATTTTGTGTGTCACAGCAAAGACTGTGAAAAATTCTGTACATGTTATATTATTAATAAACTTGCAAGAATTGCAAGAAAATGTTTTTCACTTTGTCATTATAGGGTATTGTGAATAGAATTCTGAGGTAGAAAATGAATGTAATGTATTTTGGAACAAGGCTGTAATTTGACAAAAGTGAAACACTGGGAATATTATCCTGATGCACTGCAGGAATACCCAACCCTACCTACACAACCTGTTGTCCTTAAAAAACAAGCTTACTCCTTCATAAGGACTAGAGCCAGTGTCTTATTGAGACTATTTTAAAATTAACTGATAACATTTCTTTCTTCATCGCCGTTATTGTTTGTACATCTCATGTGAAAATCTGATTCTGTAAAAAGCTCCAGCTGAATGTTTGTAGAGTCATCTTTGTAAATAAAGCACAACATGGAGCATTATTTATCTTGCTTGGCACATCATCTAAAACAGGATAAGGTTTTTTTTTTTCCCTCTAACAGATTATTTTAAAGGCAAACATCGGACTGAAAAATAAAAAGTATAATTATTCTAAACCAGGCACCAATTTCATACTGTAAACATGAGAAAATATCAGTTGTTTTCTATAAGCCCTGGAAAATGATTATAACTTAGGCTCAGAGGAAAATTTGGGATGATGGGCGGAAACTTGTCATTAACGGATAACAAACTAAAAATTCGAAAAACCTTAATTATATCAAAAATAGGTGCAAAAACACGCTAAGGAGAATGCAACAATTTCTCCAACCAATGACCTTGTTTAGATAAGAGTTAACCTTCTTTAAACAGCAAAGAGCCCCTTCTGATTTAGACATTTTGGCACTCACTGCAGCATGAACGCACACAAACACACTCCCCTTTCTCTTCCTCCAAGTCTTCCTGCAGCCCAAACTACAAAGTGGGTGGACCTCAAGTCTGTTTCGTGACTTATTACATCTACCATTGATCGCACCTTGACAGCCTGCTCCATCTTAATACCCTCCACGATGTCGATGGGTTCCTTCACAATGGCATCTGGATTTTCCGCTGCAACATCTTCGATGTTCACGCCACCCTGTGAGCTGCCAATCAGCACAGGGCCCTGTGGGACACAAGTGGGAGGGATGGGGATTTAAAATCTTAGAGTTACTGCAACATTTTTGTTTCGAAATCTGTGAAACCTAAGCCCCGGATAGACACCTTTACAAAGAAAACGGGTGATTTAATAAGAGTGATTTTATGCAAGGAGGCTTTGACTATCCTCTCCCAATAATTACAATCAAAATTACCTTCTGTTTTTTTACTGACCTGGCTGCTCTTCCTGTAATTTAAATCAAATCTGAAGCCACATCCTTCAGACTTCCTATTTTTCTGTGTAAAAACTAAAAGATGCTATTGCCATGAAAAAAAAAAAAAAAATTCCAATGTCTTCAAACCTCTCATAACAAAAGCAACAAAGTAATCTGTGCCTGCACAGTAAAATCACCGTCCTCATAATAAAATGCAAAAGACAACAATAAACAATTTTATAATCATGTCATTTATCTTCAGATTATTTTCTCAAACCCTCAGATTTTCTATTTAAAGTCGTGTAAAACAGGAAAAAGAAGAAACTCTCAGACCGGAGTAAGTAATTTTCATTGTTGTTAGAAAAGCAACACTAAATAGTTTATAAAATATGAAAATACTTATTAATTTCACATTCATCTGATTGTCAATAGGCTAATCACTGAGCGCGCTGATTGCTTGCAGCAGCTTCATAAACACAGCTGCATAGAGAAAAAAAAATAAAAAGGTTATCCACACAAGTCTTCATGACTGCACATCCTAAGGAGGCTCCTCAGATCACAAACCCTGTTTAATACAAGGTTTTGTTCCAAAGACTCCTGAGCTGAGACCTCCTTATTTCTGCTGTGATGACGGCAAAATACTAAGAAGGAATTTCTGTGGTGAGCAGCATCTTTATCCCTTTCTCCATACAGTAAGAACATGTGGAATACATTACAATCAGAATTTTATATACTATATACAACAGTGTGCAAACGTTTTAAACACATAAAATTCTTGCTCACCGCATAGTTCATGATCTATGATCAAGTTATAGACACAATCGACTCAAATGTTAGCAGCTTTGCCTAATTATGAATAAAAACCTGAACATCCAGTCAAGCATACAGACTCACTGAACCCTGAAAAAGATCCAGTGAAAGTGTTAAAATTCTTAACACATGTAAAAACACTGACTTTATCTTCAGTATTGTGCTGCCATCTAGTGGACAAAATCTGTTAACTGAATCACAACTTTGTTTTTTTATGAGTTCAATGAAGATGAATCAAGATGCATTTAAGCACTGACAGATGAATCTGTGTGTGCTTTGCTTAATTTAGTCATCTGAATGAAAAGATGTGGAGGGGAGGTGCGATGTACAGTTACATTACAAAAACAACAGTTAATCTCATCTAAATCTTTAATTTCACATCTAATTTTTGTAGTTTATAAATTGCCTCTAATTTTTTCAGAGCTGACTTTTCTTATGATACAGATCTTAATTTAAATGAATGAGTAATGTGTTTAATGTGTTTAAGTAAACAAACAGCAGCAGCTTGAGCTTTTCACACTAGGCTTGCAGACTGTCAACAGCTCAACTAAAATGATCTAGAGCTCATTCAATGCCACGCAAAAACATCATGAGATTACTGTAGTGTAAGTGTACCTTCCCTAACACTTAGACTAATACTAATCACCTCTATCCAATCCAATTTTATTTATAAAGCACTTTAAAATACCCAGCACAGGAACAAAGTGCTGTACAGAAAATAAGTTAAAACAATAGAATAACAAAAAACAGCAAAATAAATAAATAAAACACATAAAACATAAAATTAAAAACAGCCCTATGTTAAAACAAAAACAAGATAAAACAGCAT